GAAGTATGTCATGTGAAAGAATTTTAGGGGTCGTGCATGTCATGTGAAAGAATTTTAGGGGTCGTGCTCGAGTCAAATGAATAAAAAAATTCAAAAATACAAAAGCAGCACAATAAGAGCTACTATAACAACACTTGCATAATAAGAATATAAATAGAAGAAAAGAGAAAGCAATTCACAAAAGAGGAAGCAACATCTCTTCATCTTTATCCTTAATATATAAACATACATACATCTCAAAAGCTTTAGAAGTAACTAAACCAAGCTTCTAAAGTAAATAGCTGGACCAAACAAAATCCTACAGAGCAGACTTTCCTCAAAGTTGCATTACCATCTTCATGCCTAAAAAGTGAACCTAGTAAATACTTTTATATAAAAACATGAACTTATATTTATATGAACCCCAGTCACGAGATTCAAGAAAAATTACACACAAAAGAAACATGATTTGCAAACGAATTTTATTGATTATATAAAAAAAAAAAAAAGAAAGAAAGAAAGAAAGAGATAACGTAGAGTGTCTAGGTAAGTTTCGTTGGAGTGCAGTAAGTAGAAAGGATTTCAATAAGATATAATTTCATATTATTAAACACGTATAGCAGTCTGGGAATCTAGTGATAGTAGTAGGCTTGAGTGAAGGATTTGTCCTGTATGAGCTTAAGAAACATGTATGTGGTATATCCCGATGAATTGATAAGACTGCAAAAGGGATAAAAGTGCAAAAGATCACTCTACTAGATTTTTCTCTAGACTCAACACACTAGCTTAGTTTGATATGTCGTGATCACAACACCAATACTCCATGATGCGCAAAAAGACCATATTCAGTTGAGCTCAGATATAAACTAAAATTTTCTTCTATATGTCAAGCAAGCAACAATGTTTTTGGCTGAGAGTTGCAGATTTTATGAATTATTAGCGAGAAGAAAATATACTCATCACGGTATTGCTTTTGCTTCTTTACTCTAAATGCATCCACTACCTGAACATATTGATTCTATAAGATAGAAAGATAACATGCAGATAATGTGGAGGGATTGGACTACCTTTCGATGCTCTTTATCTCGTAACAGATGCTCTATGGATAGAAGATCAGGATCATTTTAGCAGGTGCCTTATACTTCAACTCGACAGCATAAAATTCTCCTCTAAAGTTATCTTTTCAGTTACACACTTCAACTTTTTCAAAGAGCTGTATACCAAATACAAAGGTGATAATGTGCCTTCAATCAGAACGGATGCTATTGGGTTCGCTTCATAGGAAATAAGATTACCTGACTAAGAAAAGGTTACCACTACAATATCGGATCTGAGGACCTACAAGGCAACAACAGACACGTCATGCATTCATTTCCAACTTGACAAGGTTGACTTGAGTAGTGATTTTGTGAAGCTACATGGAGACACATCAGATAAAGTGCAACGTAATATTTCATAATAAATAATAAATCCTAAAGAGCTTCGTTTCCCTGAGAGGGGAATGTCTATGTGAGGATCAAAGAGAAACAATTCTTGGTTCAAAAATTGACAAATACATTTCCTCAGTCATAATACCCCAAGAAAATAGTGATTGCAAAAGCTAAATGTAAACATCAGCAGTTGCTGTCTTGTATGCGTGCAGGGAACCAGAACGGTACAAAACTTAGAAAGGAATTCAAATCCAGAATAAGTTTCAGCCAAGATACCCAAATTCACTTGTGGAACATGACACTGAACCCAATATATTTGCAAGTATGGACATAAGGAACACTGAAAGCCACTAGTTTGCTTGTAAGAAACATGACACCCGTTGCACAACCTTACCTGCAGGCGCACAAAATAAACTCCAAAAATCCATAAATTTTCTTCAACTTTGCAAATAGCTTAATTCATTCCAGAAACACCTAAAACTTTCAAATCCTATGTTTGCAAATTGCTTACACAAATTGCATCAACTAATTCGCAAGTATCACCTTTTCAAACATAAAATATTTATTAGAGTGCTTATGTGTTCTAAATACAATAAACCATTAACATTAAACTTTTAAAGCTATAATTAAGTATCCAAGTCTGGAATTAGAGTCAATTTTAATGTCATGTGAAGAGTAATTGGGGAGGGAAAAGAAGCAGAACCAGGAGGAGGAAAGAAGAAGCCAATAAGAGCAACTGGAATTCAAAGTCATACGGTGCCGTTTTAAATTAAATGAAATTGTAATATGTCTTGTTAAAACACGTTTTCTTTATTTTCTTTTGGTAATACGACTTCCGGCTGAGCCTATAGATACAGAAAAGGGACAAATGGTTCTGGAAGCTTTGGTAACCTGATATTTTCAGTGGTATTGTTGAAATCGTTCATCAAGGTACTAGGAAACATCGGGGGGAAAAATAATATCCACCTTAATAGACGATGGGAGCACTCATAGTTTTTTAGATGAGACATTGGCTAGAGAGTTGAAATACAACACTGAAGAGTCCAACAAAGTAACTGTCAGGGTAGCAAATGGGGATAAACTAGAAAGTAAAGCCATTTGTCAATCAGTGGTACGGAAGATTCAAAGTTGGGAATTCCAATAAAAGCTTAGGACCCTTAAGTTGGCAGGAAGTGACATGGTTTTGGGAGTGAATTGGATGAACCAATTTGGCCCTATTGAATTTGATTTTGCTGAGGGTTATGTTAAGTTCAAGAGACAGAACACTGAGGTGAAGTTGAGAGATGAAATATCAAAATTATCAGTGGACATGATAGAGGCACAAGCGATGGAAAGGATAATGGACAAGAATCACTATGGAGTTATGGGACAATTATATGCCCCTAAAGAGGAAAAACCCAAAGAGGTGGTACCTAGCAAACTACTGGAAGTAATCCATCAATTCTAGGGGGTGTTTAAGAAACCAAAAGGGCTGCCTCCACCAAGATCACATGACCACCACATTCCTCTTAAAGAAGGTGCCCGGCCTTTTTAAAATAAGACCCTACAGGTGTCCGTTCATTCAGAAGACAGAGATAGAAAAGTTGATTAAAGAAATGCTGGAATCTGGGATTATACAAGCAAGCAATAGTCCTTTTGCCTCACCTGTACTCCTTGTCAAGAAGAAAGATGGGACTTGGAGATTCTGTGTTGATTACAGGCAGTTGAATGCCTTAACAATCAAGGACAAATTCCCAATGCCACTTATTGATGAACTATTAGATGAACTTCATGGAGCGAAGTTTTTTTCGAAAAATGATCTTAGAGCAGGTTATCATCATATAAGGGTTACTGAAAGAGATGTTCATAAGACTTCATTTAAAACACAACAAGGGCTGTATGAGATCAAGGCGATGCCCTTTAGCCTCACCAATGCACCCGCTACCTTCCAAAGCCTCATGAATGAGGTATTCAAGGACCAGCTGAGGAGATACGTCTTAGTATTTTTTGATGATATTTTAGTGTACAGCACTGATCTATCCTCTCATTGCCAACATCTAGAATCAGTAATAGGGATATTATAGAAACATCAACTATATGCCAAGAGGTCCAAGTGCAGTTTTGGGCAATTGAAGGTTGAGTACCTAGGTCATATTATTAGCAAAGAAGGAGTCTCTGCTGATCCCAGCAACGTGGAAGCAATGCAGCTATGGCCTAAACCTAGGAATATCAAACAATTGAGGGGCTTCCTAGGGTTGACTGGGTATTACAGGAAGTTTGTCAAGAGTTACGGGGTGATAGCCAGGCCATTAACAGATAAGATTAAGAAAGACAATTTTCAACGGACAGAGGCTGGAGATTTAGCCTTTGAAGGATTAAAACAAGCCATGAGTTCAACGCCTGTGCTTGCTTTACCTGATTTCCATCAACCCTTTATCATTGAAACCGATGCTTGCCAAAGTGGAATTGGTGCTGTGCTAATGCAAGGCAGAAGGCCTCTAGCTTACCTAAGCAAAGCTATTGGAATCAGGAACAGGGGTATGTCAATGTACGAAAAGGAACTACTAGCCTTAGTCACTGCTGTTAGTAAATGGAGACATTATTTAGAGGGCCACCACTTCATCATAAAGACTGACCACCAATCTCTCAAATATCTTTTAGAACAGAGGATTACAACCCCTCTTCAACAGCAATGGCTCACTAAATTGTTGGGACTCAGTTATGAAAGATTGTATAAACGAGGAATTGATAACTTAGTAGCTGATGCATTGTCAAGGAGGCATGAGAAAGAGGTGGAGTGTGCGGGAATCACCACTTTTATTCCCACTTGGATACAAGAGTTATTGATAGCTACAAGGAGGACAACTTTGCTAGGGAGAAAATCCAGTCAGTCATCTTAAATTCAACAGCAGATCCAGACTTCCTATACCTCAACAATATTTTGAAGTATAAAGGCAGGTTATACATAGGTTCAGGGGGTAATATCAAATCTAAACTAATTCAGAATATTCATGGGTCTCAAGAAGGAGGGCATACATGGCAGCATCTACAAAGCAAAGCAACATTTTTACGGGCCTGGCATGAACCGAGACATCAAAACTGACGTCTCCAGTGTGAAATCTGCCAGAAGTGTAAAGGGGAGAATGTGCCTTACCCTGGATTGTTAAAGCCTCTTCCTGTGCCTCTACATGCTTGGAGCCACATTAGTATGGACTTCATTGAAGGATTGCCTAATTCAGGAGGTAAAGATACTATATTAGTGGTGGTCTACAGATTTACAAAGTATGGTCATTTCTTGGCACTTCCGCATCCATTCACAGCCGTGACAATTGCCAAAAATTTCCTTGATTCTATTTTTAAACTTCAAGGCATACCTCAGAACATCATTTCTAACAAGGATAAGATATTTACAAGCAAATTCTGGCAAGAATTGTTTAAACTCATGGGTATCCAGCTGCATTTAAATTCTACCTACCATCCTCAATTTGATGGGCAGACAGAACGACTCAAGCAGTGCCTTGAAATGTACCTACAGTGTATGACTTTTCAACATCCTAAACAATGGGGTAAGTGGTTATCATTAGCTGAGTGGTGGTACAATACCTCCTATCATTCCTCTATCTGAATGACTCCCTTTGAAGCTCTTTATGGGATCAAGCCTCCTCAGCTCTCATTAGATCTTTACCAGCAGTCCAATGTGGCTGCAGTCGAAGAATTACTACAGCATAGGTACCAACTAAATCAACAGCTGAAAGAAAACTTAGCACAAGCAGGAGCAAAGATGAAACTATATGCTGACACGAAGCGTTCTGAGAGGTCTTTTAATGAAGGAGAGTGGGTCTTCCTCAAGCTTCATCCTTACACACAATAATCAGTGGAACACAGGATAAATCACAAGCTGGGAGCTAGATACTTTGGACCATATCAGATTACCAAGAAGATAGGCACAGTGGCATACAAATTGGCACTTCCTGCCAGCTCCAGAATTCATCCAGTCTTTCATGTTTCATTGTTCAAGAAGAAGTTAGGTGACAGGGCAATGCCAGTACTTCAATTGCCTGATGAGAATCGGTCTAAACTACCAACATATCATCCATTATCCATCTTACAGTCCAGGACCATTACTCGTAAAAAAATAACACCACCATCCAGTGGCTTATTCATTGGTCAAATTCTACTCTAGATTGTGAAACCTGGGAAGACACCGATTGGATCAAACTACAGTTTCCCTACTGTGGATCTTGGGGACAAGATCAAGGTGAGGTGAAGGGTTGTCACGTGAAGAGTAATTGGGGAGGGAAAAGAAGCAGAACTAGAAGAAGGAAAGAAGAAGCCAATAAGAGCAACTGGAATTCAAAGTCATACGGTGATGTTTTGAATTAAATGAAATTGTAATATGTTTTGTTGAAACACGTTTTCTTTATTTCATTTTGGTAATACGACTTCCAGCTGAGCCTATAGACGCAGAAAGGGGGCAAATGGTTCTGGAAGCTTTGGTAACATGATATTTTCAGTGGCACAGTTGAAATCGTTCAACATTTCTCCTCTCTTTCTTCTAAAGTTCTCTTTTATCTTATTCCCCTTCTCTTTTTTATCTTTGTTTAGTGATATAATCTTAGCTATTTCAGCTAAGTTCAGTGCATTCTCTGTGTTACAGTGAAGAGCTGCCATTGTTGAAGGTTCGAGCCGTGACATTTAATTGCTTCAAAATAACCTCGTTCATAGTTACATAAGAACAAGATATATTATTAAACATATACATATTACAATACCTTGGTAAAAAAACTTCCCTTGTCAGCCAAAGCCTCCGTAGCAAGCTTAACGGAATCAAAAACTAGAGTCTAGAGCATTCTGATTGATGGCCTCCCTAACCCACGCGACATTAATGCCCTTATAGCCATCGAGTAGCACCATGTCAAAAGCTCCGCATCCACCTTCCGCCATGAGTTTCTTAATAACGTCCTTATACTTGGGGGCCCTAGTACTCTCCCGCACGGAGAATGCACCTTCGATGGATTGAATCGAGTTGCAGTCGACTCCAATTACTAGAATGCCCATCAGCATCTTCTCGAAAGCTACTTGAATCCAGCCACCAGGTGCGGCGCAGAGATCGAGCACGAATTAGCGGAGCGAAAAATTCCGAACTAGTAATCAAGTTGAACCAGCTTCCCTGCGGCTATAGATCTGTAGCTATGCTCTTTCCCCAATTAGTATTTCTCATCAAACCGTTGTTCTCTTCGTCTTTCCCCATCGCTGTGGGGGGTTTCAGAGAATTGAAATTGGGGAGGAGGCAGGATTCGGGGTTAGGTTTCAGAGAAGGCGAGGTTGGGATTCGGACTTTATGTATAGGGTTTAGCAACATGCGGTAATATTAATTAGACCCAGTTTTTTTCCATTTTGATAAAAATGAGGATGAAAAATATAGTCGTTATGATTTATATAAGAAATAGAAATTTAAATTTGATGATTTGATGTGATTAATAATGATCATATTTTTCATTTTTTATAGTCTGTTTGAGCCCCATTTTTTACTAAGAATACATTTTAAAAATTAGATTGATGGAGAATGTATAGTTAAAAAATGAAAAAAATTAGATTTTTGTGTAATATTATTTTATTAAAAAATGTGTAGTTGAAAAGAAGAAATAGAAATATATTTTAAAAATAATGGAGACAAGCAATGGCTATATAAATAGGTTTATTTGTGTATAGTACTTACATCTCATTAATTTTTGTTCTTTTTGTCTTACCGTGTTGGATTGTGCTTCGTTGGCCTTCATTTCAGTTTTGTAGTAGAAATAGGTTTTTATTTTTTGCGGTTGAAATTTGTATTCTTTTCGTAAAATGTACTTGCATGCATCTAACGGAATTTCAAATTTGTAAACCGTACTAGAAATCTTCAAAACGAGTTTGAATCACTTGCCTTTTGTTTGCTTGTCTTCTACGCTGCCTTGTTCACACTTATTGGTCAGAAATTCGATCAAAAATGAAGAAATTTGATAGCCATAAACCAAGAACTAATTTAGAGATGATATACCTCCAAAATCAAGTCACCATCCTCATGCATTTTTCTTTCGGTGAAGAAACACGAATTTTACATTTATTTTTTCTGTTTTGTGGTATAATAGAGGTTATATTTGGTTGAGGGTGGTAGGAGGTTAAATTTTAAACTCAAAATTTATCTCCTCCCTATAAATAAAAAAAAAAAAAAAAAAAAGATATACCTTACTGGGTCACTCCACATAAGTGACCCATTTTTCATTTTTTTCAACATCTCCCACACACACATTATAGATTTGACATGATTCTAATATAATCTCAATTATATTTAAGAACAGACAACAATATACACTTATTAGGTATATAATAACAACTCTACTAGAGGCAATATATTTCTTGCTACACATAAAATATGTTTTTAACACTAGTTTGCGTATTTTTGACCCCTCAATTAATCAAAGAACATACTCAACTTTCTAATTTGTGTTGTATTCATAATTGTATCGCAAATTCAAATGTTAACACAATTATCCAGCATGTGAATACAAGTTGAGGTGTTAGATAAAATAATCTTCTTTTCCTACTTGAATCTCTTGATTTTAAGCCAGCTGCTTTTCTAGACATGTTTTACCAAACCGAAACAACCATAATTAATGTAACATGCTAAAGTAGCAAACACCGAAATAAAATTATGAGAAATAGTCAAAAGTCATATATGTAAGTGTTATGCCCCAGGTTTAATCGACTTTGGATATAAATACTTTTAATATATAATTGATGCAATTTAACGACAGATCTATTATTTAATTAATAGACAATTAAATTAAATAATAGAGTCCGTAGATTCAAATATTCGTAATTTGTTAATCACAAGGAGTTGTGATTGTAAGATACAAATTACATATGATTGAATCTTAAATTGTCTATGGCCGTAAGTAATAATGAGATAGGATATCGTTATTACGGATAGGTCATTACGTGTGGCATTTCTTACTTGAGAAGTAAGTAACCGATTTCACAAACTAAAGTGTGGTGACATTTGAATGAACACGTGGATGATTTGTTATAGAACAAAATATTAGAGACCCGCTTAGAGATTTCACATGAGTAACTATCTGAGTGTCAGTGGTTAATCTTTAACGTTCGGTAGTGGGATTGGTCATTTAACTTGAGGTCGTCATAGTACCTCATATGAGGACAGTCATGCTTTGACGGTGTTGGATGTTGCTCTGTCAAAGGCCGCTAATACGGCATCGTTCAGGTATGTCAAGAATCGTATAAAGGTTATGAATGACCACTAGAGGATTCGTCACTCTTAGATAGTAAGAGATTATGATCCATATTTTATTCGATTAAGTCGATAATGAAATCATTAGCCAAGATGTACTCATAAGTCGAAAAGGAGTTTTCGAATTACATTAACTTAATAATGGAATGAAAGATATGATCGATAATTGAGATTGACACCTATCCATATCTCGTAATTGATCGGATCATATTGACGAAAGGATTATAGTTTCACGGTAAACAAACTTGCTTGATTTTGTCATACCACGTGACATTTTTCATCACATGTATTGCTCTGAAATATTGCTAGATGTCTAGAATGGCGAGTGTGAATTATTGATAAATTAAAATGGTGTTTTAATTTATCAATTTTGATTAATTCAAAATAATATTTCACGTCGTTAGGTATTGTGATCGGGAACCCGATGGGTCGCACATAAAAGAAGAACTGGAAGATTGTGATTAGTCTATTAATAAATTTAACAAACGTTGGATAAATTAATTAATTGGATTGCTCATTTACAGGCCCGAATTAATTAATTCACGGATCAAATTTAATTAAATATTGGACCGGGTCAGGCCAGACCCATTTGAGCTTACAAAAATAAGTGATTCGGGTTTACAATTTATTAGAGAAAATTCATTATTCTTGCTAGCAAAAGAAGAAAACCCTAATCCTGCAATCTTGTTCCCTGTGTGGATTATCGTTGGAGGCTGGACAATTGGACAGTTGTGGAGATAGATTCAAGTTGCTGGAAAAAGAAAAAGCAAAGGAGTTTGCAGATCTCGTAAAATGTACAATTTCTATTTGAACAGAAAGAAATCCGTAGTGGAAATCGAAAATTATTTTAATTTTCTGCTGCTCATGTTAAGTAGATTCCCAACAATAAGGGTATATAAGTGAAGCCATATGTGCTTCAGAGACATACAATAAAGAAGTAGGGATCAATTTTTTCATTTTTCATTGGTCGTTAAAACACATGTGGTATGCAACACGTGTCATGATGTTTTATTTCTTTCTTAGAGCGTATATCCAATCTTAAAAATAAAATACACTGTACAAATCATAGTTCAGATATTCCTCAATATTTAACATGAGTTCTCCTTGGCAATCTCAATCAAGAACTTGATTTGGTTATAGAACATGTTTTATAGATAACAAAATACATACCAATTACTTGTTGTAATCTAATTAAGGCGACTAGATCATATAAACAATGTGATCAATGTTCCTAATCTTAGCACACCTCAAAGTATCTAAGGCGATTGTTCGTGTGAGTGAACCAACCTCAACACGTTTGACATAATTTATGTGTGCATATTCAATGGTAGTCCAAAAATCACAACAAAATATTACTCTTAACTTATGAACTCAAAACATTGTTCATTAATGGACTTATATGAAAAAGTTCACATATTACATAACTTAAATTCTATGCAATCCTAGAGATTTAACATGAGTCATAAATATATCTCAAGGGATAGGTTTTGTAAATGGATCAGCTACCATTTGTTGCGTAGAAATATATTGCAAACCCACTTCTTTCTTTCCCATGATGTTTCTTACAAAATTATATTATGAATCAATGTGTTCGATTCTATTGTGATATTTGAGATTCTTTGTATATGTAATAATTGTCCGACTATCACGGTAAACCAAAATTATATGCATGTTTGTTTCTTGCTACTCCAAGAGATGACACCATTATTAAACAAGAATGTCTATCCTGAAGTTGATTTGCGCTCATCTAGGTCTTTATCCCAATCAGCATATGTGTATCCTTTTAAGCACAAATCATTCCATTAATGGCACAAGGAATAATTAGCAGTACTCTTCATGTATCTTCATATAATCTTAATAGTTTTCTAATGCTCTCTTTCGAGATTAGATTAATACCTGCTGACGAGATTAGCGAC